GTGAGAGAGAGGGTGCAGGGAAGGGAGATCGAGAGACACAGAGAGAGAGAGAGAGAGAGAGAGAGAGAGAGAGAGAGAGAGAGAGAGAGAGAGAGAGAGAGAGGTTGCATTGGGCAGTTGCCTACACCATGAATGCATCACCCATCCTATGTGTTTTTGCGAGCGAAGCCGCAACTTCTTCTGTCAGAATGCAGTGGATGGTATGATGGTGTGCGTGCGTATCTGTGGCATGCTGTGTAGCCACACGGGCCTGCAGGGCCCGTCCCGCACTTTCAGCCTAAAAGCCTAGAAAATAGGGCTTACAGGCCCCCATGTCGTTTCAGCCTGAAACTGAAAACGATGGCCTGCAGGCCCTATTTCGTTTTCAGCCTATAACAGGGCTTTTCAGCCCTGAGGCTTTTCAGCCTGAAACGGAGGGCCACTTTCGGGCCCTCGTAAGATCGACCTACCCTAAACCTCAGGCATAAAACCAGGGTTTTGGGAACAGGCTATTTCTGGCCTGTTCCCACGACAGCCTTGAGCAGGAGCTGCAGCGGCAGCCCCTGACTGCCTTCGGCATTGGCAAGAGCAGCCTCCTGGACTGCCTCGCCTGCAGCCAGGAGGTACCCGAGTAGTACATAGGAAGTTCCCATGCACTTCATGGGTAGGTAGTTGGACAGTAGGCACGAGTAGTCTTCAGGATTCAGCCGCAGCACTCAGGATGTTACATGCAGCGCGTGCACACACGGGCCATTGTGCAGGCCCGACGGCCATTTTGCAGGCCCGACTGGATTCAGGCCAAAACCCTGGATTTCAGGCCGAAAGCCTGAAATTCAGGGCTTATAGGCCCCATTTCGGTTCAGGCCGAAAGCCTGACTTTCAGGGCCTACAGCTCCTGCGACGGTTCAGACTAAAAATGGTAATAGCATTTTTAGCCTGAACCCAAGGGCCATATTCGGTCGTTCATCAGAACGACCGGCCCTGAAACTCAGGCACCGAACCAGGGTTTTGAGGAACAGCCTATCTTTAGACTGTTCCCACGCCAGCCTTGAGCAGGCTCCTGCACGCCAGCCCCTGACACACTTCGGCATTGGCAAGAGCTGCCTCCTCGGCCTGCTCGCCCTCCTGCAGTCAGGAGGCAGGCCGAGGAAGTACTTAGGGACTTCCCAGGCACTTCACGGGTAGGCAGTTCGGCAGTTGTAGTCTTCAGGATTCGGGAGCAGCACTCTGGAGGGAGCGCTGCGTTGTAGTAGAGTAGCGTTAGCTAGTAGTCTTCAGCGCTGGGCGTAGTAGGTAGCTGTAGTCTTCGGCTCTGGGCGCCATAGCTAGGTAGTGGTAGGGATGATGGGCGGAGGCCAGGGATCACTTACCTCCAGCGCCGTTGCTCCAGCTTCGTCTTCGAGGTACCTGCAGCGCAGCGCCAACATCACAGGTTAGTACCTGGTTCGTAACAGTAAGAGAGAGAGAGTTCTCTTCTTCCTCTTCTCAGTCCCCCATCTTCTTCTAACCCTCTCAACTTCTGACTTCCCTGCAGTTGCAGACTACGAGAGAAGAGATACCGGACTTGGTGACATATGATTTAGACTCGACTTTTTGGGGATTCAGACATGGCAACGACGACTATTTGGGATTGGTGACCAAGACTTGGTGTTAACGACATTCCCATCTTCTTCCCTCCTTTCGTCTGATCCTTATCTCTTCGTCTGTGTATGTCTGGACCTGGCGCTATCTTCCTGTGTGCAGCGCCAGGCTCCTTCACACTTCGTGATGGATACAATGCATGTTTAGTCTGAGTTCAAACATTGATTGGGCTAGTTAGAGGTACTCTAGCATTCTGCTTAGTTACTCTGAACTACGTGAATGAGGTCAGTTCTGTCAGGTCGGTCTTTGTATTAAAGTCTTCCCTGCGCTCTTCAGCATCTTTATGTATGAATGAGAATGTACATTGCTTGTCGAGATTCTACTCGTACCGCATTGTCTATTCAGTCCTTTTCATCACATTGCAAATTCTCGGTTTATTACGTACATTGCAGATCTGTGCATGTAACACAGGAGCAGCGCTGGCAGTAGTAGTTAGCGCTAGCAGTAGTCTTCAGCGCTGGGCGCTCATAGCTGTAGTAGCAGTCTTCAGCGCAGGGCGCTAGTAGCTGGTAGTGGTAGCGTTGGAGAGAGATGGCTGGCGGAGGCCAGCGGTACTTACCTGTGGCGCCATAGCTCCAGCTCCATCTTCGAGGTACCTGCATCAAGGCGCCAACTTCACAGGTTAGTATTGAACACAGAGAGAGAGAGAGTTCTTCTTCCTCCTCTTCTAAGTCCACCATCTCTTCTCACCCTCTCACCACCTGACTTCTCAGGATCAGCAGACTACGACAGAGAGAGAGAGAGTTGTGACTTGAGACTTGACGACATTGGATCCAGACATTTTGACGAGGGACTGTTTGGGCCTGTGCCAAAGACTTGGTGTTGACGACATTCCCATCTTCCCCTCCTCTTCGTCTAACCCCCTTCTTCTTCGTCTGTGTATGGTTGGGGCTGGCGCAGTCTTCCTGTGTGAAGCACCAGACCCCTTTCACACCATGGAACCATGATGATGATGTATGTTCAGGGCTGCATTGCAATATTGATTGTTCGGATCATTGGTATCTAAGTCTTCCGCTACGCTATCTTGTACTTTGTATTGAGAGGTTGGTTCTTGTTCTGGTCTGCACCGTTACAGTATGCAACAGTATCACACGGGCATTGTCAATCCATCTCGCCCAAAAGTTCAATTCAGAGGAGAATGTCAACGTGTTTTGATCTTTCTCACCCTTTTTCTGTTAGAGAAGTCTTGTGTTGCATGAGGGATGTAGCTAGTACACATGGGCTGCGGGCATTGCCGTAATTTTAATCAAAGAGGGAGTTGTTGCCTTCATGTGTCAATCACAGAATACAATATATACTGTGATAATTTGGGAAGGAAATATCCGTGCTCATGATGTGGTTTGCCCGTCTACTACACTTTGCTGACTAGAGTTGGTGGTTTGGACAGGGATCGTCATGACATTCCTCCTCCGATCCCAAGCGGAGTTCCAGTGAAGGTATGCAGAAGTTCTTGCACTCTCTCATTTGCATATGATGGTCTGGTTTCCTCTTTTGGCGTGATGGTTTTGTTTGGTGAGTTGTGTGTTGCTTGCAGGGGTGGTTTGGTGTTGCTCTTCTGGCCAGTAATTGATCCCTGGGTCTCCTGCTGTTTACTCCAACCCCAGCGTGCGCTTGGTGCGAACACATTCTACATTTCTGTCCTGCAGGCATTGTGTGCCAGTACCGACCTTGTTCAGGACATACCCCGAGGAACAGCCAAGCCATCAGGCTGCTACCTAGTATATATACAAGTCGCCAGTATATGTACCGGTAACACTTGTTCAGGACGCATCTTTTGCTTTACTGGTTGCATCTTGTGGTGCACTGGTTCGTGTGTGTGTGTGTGTGTGTGTGTGTGTGTGTGATATGAGATGAAACCCCCACGTGAACAGACGTGGCGAACTGCGCGGAAATAGCACATCAGGCAACACACCAAGAAATAAATCGTCCACTTCGTATGGCATGACCAAAACAAGCAAACAGCAAGAAGCCCAACACCCTACTATTGAAGTGAAACAGACTAACACATAGGGAAGGGGCATGGCATAACAAACAGGAGATAACGCATACTGGGGAGACATACAACGTACATGAACGACAAGCAACAACAAAACAGAGGCTGGGGGGGCACGGGGGAGGCGGGCGGGCACAAGAACACGATAGGACAAGGGAAAGACAGTGAGCTGAGAAACAAGTAGCACCAACGGAAACAGGCAAACCGAAAAAAATAAGCCCCAAGAAAGTCGAAGGACCGAAAAAAATAAACTGATGATAACAAGATTGTTTCGTCGGAATTGCGCCGACTCATCGGGGAGGCTGAACCCTCGACAATCTGCGGAATCCCCGTATATGATGGTTTGGGTCATGAACCCTTTGACCCTTGTTGAAGGCAGACTGTCCCCAAGCGGAACATAGCAGCGGGCAGCAACCCTGCGGAGCACCAGGCAGCGCAGTAGAGGCAACACGGCTGCACAACGCCAAAAACGACTGCAAGGAACGACACAGCACGCCAAACTCGCAGCAGGGCACCCAAGCAGTGAAGCACCAGGCAATACCACCAAGACAACCACACTGCAAGGGACGAGAGGGCAAGCGGACAAGCAGCAGAGCGACCATGCTCGGAAGCACAAGGCAACCCCAACACGGCAACCAAACTACAGATCGTGCAAGCAAAGAACCTGGAAGCCACGACCAGCGGACGGGCGGTAAGGCAGCGAAGCAGCGAAGCCCAAAGCAAGACCACAACCCAGCCACACCACACAGCGAAGACAGCATCATGCCAAGAACGACCTGCAAGGCAAGCGGAACGGGCAGCAAGGCAGTGGTGGAGCACAGACGGGGCCGTCCACACATCCAACACGGAGCAAAGCAGAACATCACCTACTCACATCACGGGTGAACCCCGCAGACTGTTGGTTCCCACCACCCACTGAGCCAGGGAGACACTCCGACGAGCATCCGTCATCACCATAGGCAACACAGACATCCCGAACCGAGCGGCCCCCTAAGAGTGCAGTTGGCACTCCAAACGAGGAATCACCGACTGTTTGGCACTACTTAAGGGTGCTCAGTTGGGCACACAGAAAAATACGCGGAAAAAATTAGAGGAAGGACAAACAACAGGAATAAAACTAACACACAAAAAACTGATTGTGTGTGTGTGTGTGTGTGTGTGTGTGTGTGTGTGTGTGTGTGTGTGTGGTTGTGTGTGTGTGTGTGTGTGTGTGTTGTTATGTTTGTTATACAACTCGACAAACAAAAAAAAAAAGACTGTGCTGTTCCGTCGCTGACTCATCAGGGTCATGTCTGTCTGTGTCCCGTCTGCTACCTTCCTCCCTCTTCCTCTTCCTCTTCCTCCTCCAACACACCCAGTGCTTGCTATGTTTGGTGAGTTCTCTTTGATTGGTTTCTTGGTGGGTTTCCTTGTTTGTTTGTTTGTTTATTGGTTGCTCATCTGTTGCGCACACGTGAATATTGAATTTGTGGCTTCAAGTGTGGTCTACTCGAGGGTTGTGGTTTCATGTTCACCAGGAAACATTTGAATGCAGCCTTACGCAGGATGAGTGTCTCATAGGGCTACTGCTGAATTGTGAGGGCGGAAACGGCCCTGTATGCTCGGGTAGGGTTGGAAGCTTTGATGACAACACTCCCTTTTCTGGAAAAGTTGCTGGAATAGTTCGTGTTTTCATATGGTTTCATCTCACATTTAGCCAGACTTCTGCAGAAAAAGCTGTTGCACTTTGCGGAGTTCTCACTTCTGACCCATTTCACTTCAAATTGTACTGACAGATTCTTCCTTTGTGGCATTTGCACTTTGACATTCTTATGGACATATGCACCCCGGTGTTCCTGTTCCAGAGGGGCCGAGGCAGGCCACGCAAAGAAGACTCCTGAAAGTTCAGTGTCAGAGATGGCAATACCGACTGCCATTGTGGATGGCGAAATGAAGCATCCCAAGTTGCCCTGCTTCCCCACTCTCTTAGATTTTGCTGGTTGTATTTGATGCCTCTTCCCAAAGTGGAAAGTGTGATGATAATATGTTTGGGCTAAAGGCATCTGGCTTGCTGGTTCGCAAGCTAGCAAGCATGAAAGAGGACGCAGAAGGAAGGGAGCGAGGAGGCAAACTGCAGGCAGACATGCTAGCATGGTGGGCAGATGGGCAAAAGCCAAAGACATGGAGGAGCGGCGGCCGTATCAGTGGGGCAACAAGGCAGGTAAGCTTTCCCAGCCACAGTACCTTGGAGAGCCTGTACCAGTAGTAGTGTCATTTGGGTAGTTTGGGACAGATGGACTGTGATGGAGAATCCTGTCGAGTGAGGCTTTGTTTCCGAACGGAGCGGTCCTGTCTTCTTTGCTCTCCAGTGGAACGCAGGAGCGAAGGCATGAATGAACTCCCGGTAGGTTGTAACGTGTGACAGTAACATCATCAATCGATGGGCAGACGAATTCCGAAAGTAGAGAGTCAAAGATATGCTTTGACAGTGACCAAATCCGATAGGTCGATTGTTATTTTTTTGCCTGTCTACCCAACACTATAGCTAGATGTACATGGGCCCTCCTTTGCTAGTGGTGAGTGTTTGTAGGTCATTTTACCAGGTCATTTTACCGTATGCCCCTTCTTCTGCAGGCCCACCACTGGAAGCCGTCCCCTGCCTTGCTCCTTTGCCATCCTTCTTGTTGCTTCAGAGGACCGCAGGTGAACTTCACATCGGTTGCAGCTTGTGAATGGTCATGGTGGCTGTTAATATACAGTAGACGAAGTGAAGGTAGTATTTAACGGATATCAGCAACTGCCAGCTGTTGTATCCATAAGCTCACGACCAACTGCCAGCTGTATAATCAAAAAATTGCTTCTCTCCTGTAATTGACAAGAATCATGTAGGTAACGGGGGCAGGCGATTCTTCCAGAAGAGTTGGGCAACCTGCAAATGACAGCTAGTTAGTCCATCAGAAGGAACACCTACGGGAGCTCGTTGCTCTCAAACAGCGAGGCCTTGTTGGTTCTCAATTAGGGACCTGTGGAAAGGGAGTATATCCCTTTCCACATTGACAAGTAGAAAAAAACAGGGTGCTGTGGTACATGGAGCGAGGGAAAACAGGCATACATTCATGAGAATGTGCCTTGCTATAGAGAGGTACGGTGGTCTTGCTACGCTGCTGCTGGAACGTGATGTTCGTTTTGGGAGATCAGGAATGGTGGACCTGTTCAGCCACACATGATGATGTTGTCTCAGTCGGAGTTGTCAATCACTGCCATGAAGTGTTCGCCTTCAGGGATTGGTAGCAGCTAAGTGTTGGATGCACTATATCTGTGTACAAAACCCCTCCAAACTGGGCATAGCAAGTAAGCATATCCACAACTAGACTCCTGTCCATATCTAGTCTCTACTAAATTACTTTATCTTTGCTAGACCCTTCCAGCTTGTCACCACCTTTCCTCCACATCTCCCCTCACCACCTCCTTCCCTCAGCCCCACCACATCGCTCATAGCTCTCACCCCGGTGCTTCAGCCAGACCTTTTCATAACCATGTATGCTCCGCCACCACTTCATGTCGGCAAATCCACGACTTTTTTGGTAATGCTGTGAAGCAGTCCAAAGGTGGGAACATTGGTGTGTTTCTTTTCTATTTATGTCTGTTTTGTGTTTGGCCTGGGTGCCTGTCTGCTTCATGCAGAGAAACCAGGTTCTTCTGATAATTTGAATGTCCTTCGATTGCTGCTCCTTCCCGCTATTAGGGACGCAGCAATCATGATCTTGCCATGGTTGATTATTCGGGCGGTCATGATGTTAATGATAAGGCTTTTGGCAATTATTGATGATGATGATGGCGACAGCGATAACTATGAGGAGGATGGTGATGAAGATGGGGCTGGTAACAGTGGCCACATGATGATGATGGTGGTGGTGGTGGTGGTGGTGGTAATGATTATGCTGAATAATCGGCAGCAGTAGGGATGGCGGGGACGGATGGAAAGAGAACTTGTCTGGTTCTTGGTCATGCCACTATCTTTTTATGATCTAGTCAAGTGAGGAAAGGAAACACGGGTAGGCACAAAATCAGACAACCAGGTTTGCAGGCCAGAGTGATGAGGTGGTTGGATGCTGACTTGCTTTGGTTTTTGCTGGTTTTAATGTCTCGCTCTGTGGTGCAATCGTCCATCTGTGATGCGAGTATATCTTCCTTCGTAAGAAGACGTGCCTTCATTCTGCCCCTCGTTCTCACAAATGCCTTCGAGAAGTGAAAAGGCACAACATGTGAAGTCTGTTTGTCCGTTTTTTATTTCATGTACTTGGGTGTATCTCGAGAACCGAAAAGTCTACCACACCATAAAAGATTCTTCTTTGCATAGTCCATTCCATATGATAGTGGGTGAAAATGGTTGGCCATCGTAGTTTACAGCAGCCGTGCACTGCACCCACTTCACACCCGTTTTTATGTCTAATTTGTCTGTCCAGGCTAAGGAAAAGGAAAGGAGGGGGGGACTGGAACGAAAGGCGAAGGCATGCAACACTGTCAGAATATCAGGCTATTATGGACAAGGCTGTACTGCCCCCCAATTTGGTCCTTTGCTTGGATGCACATTCACATTTATACACTCCTTGCGATCCTAATGAATTTTGGTGCTCTCTTTTGTGGCATCTCCACAACTGGGCTTGATGGTAATTGTTTTCTCTTTTGAAATCTTTCTCATTATAATCCTTTTGCAAAAAAGGGGGAGTTGTGGACACCTCTCGGCATGACTCAAGAATGCATTCTGTCAAGGATGGGCGAGTTGCTGGGACTGGGTGTGGGTTCTGACCAACCAGCCAATTCCTCAATTTATTGACATGGAAAGGGAGTGAAGTGTGGGTATGCACTTTCACACCTCGCACACTCTGAATGGTGGTGGGTGGCAGAGCAGGGAAAATGAGTTCTGAGCAAGAGATGAGTTCAGACACTGCAGGGAGGGAGTCAAGAGGGGATGAAGATTGCTGGAGAGGTGGAAGAGAGAAAAAGAAAGAGAAAGAGAGAGACTAAAGCAGTGTAGGAAGGGTGGTGGGCAGGGTTGTGGACCCCTGGACCTGTGGGCCCTCGGTGAGTGTCCAGCTGTCTGGGGGAGGGACCCCTAACCCCAGGGGTACGGGGGAGGGACCCGAAGCTTTTCTTCTTAAATTAAAAAGGAGCAGGTGGACATCACCAGCACCTTCCTGGAAGGTGTTGTTTTCCCATGGCTGCAAAAAGGGACCTCCCCTCAACTTCCCTGGAGGCACAGGTCTGTAGTAGGCCCAGGCTGGCGCCTGAGCTGGGCTGGAGAAGTGGGTGGAGCACGGGGGCTGGAGCAGCGATGGGTGGAAGCGGGGATGGGGGAGAGGGCGGGGATGGGGTTGGGGGTAGGTGCAGAGTGCGTGCCCTTCTCAGAAGGTGCTTTTTCCCATTGCTGCAAAAAGCGACCTCCGCTCACTTCCGTGGGGGCACAAGTCTGTAGTTGGCCCAGACTGGCGCCTGAGCTGGGCTGGGGAACTGGGTGGGGCACCAGGGCCGGAGAAGGGATGGGTGGAAGTGGGGATGGGGGTGGGGGCGGGTGCAGAGCACATTCCCTTGCTTGGGGCATGGGGACCGGGCTGGGGATGGTGTTGGCAGCGGGGCGAGAGGATTCTCCACTCATTCCCGGCCCCTTTGCCTGATGCCCACCCCTGCCCTGCACCACCCCCAGACCCACTGTTTTCCCGTGGTTCCTTGTGTTTCTCTACAGGGATGCATGGAGCCAAATTTTGGACCCCGGCCACCTGTGCCCCCGTCCGCTGCGGGGTAGTACCCTCATGTGGGCTTGGGGAGTGGGAGCATGGGGGGCCCCAAACCTATTGTCTCCCCCGCTTTTCTGGCCATTAGGAACACGCTGAGCCACTTTCTCAGACACCGTAACTTGGACCCCCGCAACCCCAGCCCCACCCCTGGCCCGGACGTGCTGGGGTCCAACCATCGGCCCCGGATTTTGTGTCGCGGTCCCTGCCTGGCAACCCCCTTTTGGTGGGAGGGAGGGAGGAAGGAAAGGAGCGTGATGACTCTGCCTATTGTGTTGGAGCAGTCCTAGAGTCACTCCTCTGCCATTTGTTACTTCTCATGGAGCTTGGGATAAACTTCACTCACAGCTAATTTGCTGGTTTCTTCTGAATCCTTTCTTGTTCTGTTTATTCCTTTCCTTCTTTCATGTCTTTTCTCTGCTGTGTAGGAAGCACGTGTTTTGTGTGTGTGTGTGTGTGTGTGTGTGTGTGTGTGTGTGTGTGTGTGTGTGTGTGCACTAAGGCATGTGAGGTATAATATATCATTACTCATACTCGCAGAGCTCCGACAAAGCATGTCGCCAAGGCAGGTGTGGGCCATAGCCAAGCAGCAGAAGGCCGACAAAACTCTTAGGGG